ACCTTCTCTTTATTCTATAGCAGGGGTAGGCAACCTATGGCACTTATGCCATGCACAGCACTCAAGGCTGCTAGAGCCAAACAGGCCCTAGCCTATCACGAGTCCCAGTGAAACTTCAGATATCTGCCAATACGAAAAGGTGGTGAAGCACAATCCTCAATTTATGCATTGCAGCACGTAGAGAAAGTGACCTCAGAGCAATTCCTCCCAGCACCTGTGAACAGGAATCCACACTGTAGTAGAACAGCCCGCAGTTGCTGATGCAGCTCCTGTCCTTGACCTGTACCTGCCCAGGCTGGTCCCCACTGGAACCCAGTAAAGCCATCCATACTGCTAGATATACACAGAGCTGCAGAATAACCCTCTCCTCATACAAGCAATATGAACAGCCCACACACACTCTGCACAAACTCACCACTAACAATCCACATACATAAACACAAAACTTCACATGCAATACCCCAGACAGCCCCTCACATACACACTACCAAACAATATAAAATATCCACAAGCAGCCCCCATACATGATACCACAAACTACTCATGAACACACACACACACACACACACAATATTAGAGGAACACTATAGTCACCTAAACATTAGCTTAATGAAGCAGTTTTGGTGTATAGATCATGCCTCATGTTTTACTGCTCAATTCCATGCCATTTAGGAGTTGAATCACTTTTCTGTTTATGCAGCCCTAGTCACACCTCACCTGGCTATGATTGACAGCCTGCATTAAAAAAAAAAAGTTTCACTTTCAAATCAGATGTAATTTACCTGAAACAATGTTCTCTCTGTAAATGGAACTTTAATCACATACAGGAGGCTCTTGCAGGGTCTAGCAAGCTATTAACATAGCAGGGGATAAAAACTCTAGATTAAACAGAACTTGCAAGAAAGTAAGGATAAACTTTAGATGACTCTTTACAGGAAGTGTTTAGGAAGGCTGTCCAAGTCACATGCAGGGAAGTGTGACTATGGTTCATAAACAAAGTGATTTAACTAATTAATGGCAGAGAATTGAGCAGTGAGAGTGCAGGGACATGATCTATTCACCAAAACTGCTGCATTAAGCTAAAGGTGTTCTGGTGACTAGTGTTCCTATAAGTAACTGCAGTATAAGAAACAAGCAGAATACAGCATAAACCCAATTAAAAAAAGCACGCTACGGGACATCACAATCTTATTTCAGCACAGTGCTGCTAAAAAAAAATTGCCTACCTCTGTTTTATATACGTAAAAAAACTAATGGAAAATTGATTGACAGTCGAAATAGGCAAACTGCATTAAAAGAGGGGCACTCCATGTGAAGTTAATGTAATTTTACTCCCCCCCTTAAACCTATCTCTAACTACTTGCCCAGTTATTCCTTCCCTACAGCATTTGCCTTAAAAAAATAAAAATAAAATATAGCACAGATGGTGGTTAGATGGTGTACAGCTGTATTACACCAAGCGCCATTAATAACATTCATCCAGTTACCACACTGAACTTGTCACGGGGCAGGAAGGATATGGTTTCATTTAGGCAGAGAGCTTTTTGTTTTCAGCCTAGTATACAGCTTTCACTAGAAGATTCCAGAAGACACCCCACCAGTGCATGAACGAAGGTACAGATGTCTTTTTGCCCCATGTATCTTAAATCAAGATTGATTAAGAAACTATTTGCCAGCAGCTCGTCTTTATGTAAGAAAAGCGCTTTCTAAGACATTCAAAAAGCTCTCATGGAAAGTTATTGGAGCTACAGACTCCATATTCTGATTTGGTGAAGCAAAGATGGTGAGGGAGCTACACTCCAGTCTGCACCATATAAAACTGATTACTTTAAAAGAAATGCCACTCTAGATTGTTTATTCCCTTCCATGCATTCAGAATTGAGTCATGCACTGACCAAATGCCTAGTTTAATGAAGACTAGGCAAGAGACCTAGTTATATATGCTATATGGATATAAAATCCTGTATGACTTGAGAATAGAGACTAGTTTCACTGGATATAAAAAAAAATTAAAAAATTTACATTAGAAATTCCTATTTTGATTATGATTTGCACCAGACATTTGCTTTTTTTGTTTAACCCCTTAAGGACCAAACTTCTGGAATAAAAGGTAATCATGACATGTCACGTGTCCTTAAGGGGTTAAACATTTGTTAGTTCTGTTCAATGGATGACTTCAGCAAGATTATAGCCGTTCCATAGAAAAGCATTGCGGCATTACTACTCGTGTGGTAGTCATCGCACAAAGATTATTCACCTCCTAGCAAAGAATTACAATGCATCTATATGGGGACATTTGAACATTAGGGTTCTATTTTTCCAGATCTTAGGTGCTCCTAGTGACTAAGACAGATGTGCTACACTAGAGGGACAGCATCTAGGCTGGGCATAGGCAACATTTGGCACTCCAGAGGTTTTAGACTACACCTCTCATGATGCTTTTCCAGCATTATGGGGGACAGTCCACAACATCTGGAGTGCAGAAGGTTGCCTATCCCTGACTAGGCACCAGTACTACATGGTTCCTTTAATGGAAACGTGAATAAGAAAGTTTAGGGAAACTGGCATGGAACCCCCCACCCCAAAAAACCCCACACTAGATTTTAGATAAAATTCCATCTATACATTGTGCTAGCAAGTGTATAGGTTTGGAGACTAAGTTCTCCCACCTCTCCCTCTATTCCTTAGTGGACCCTGAATGCCAAAGAACTGAACGACTAGGAGAGCAGAAGTCCCTTTGCTCTCCACCCATATCAACCACAGCGCTAGTTAGAGAATATAGGAATTGAGTGATGCGACATGACTCCAGACACTGCAACAAAACAAGTGTGCCAGCATCATGGGGATTTCCCCTGCTTGGGGAAGTGTGATATTGTCCATAGGGCAGATATTAATTTGCATTAGTTATGCTTTCTTAAACTTGATGGGCATCTGAAAAGCTTAACAGACTATGTAATTATGCACACATGACCTTTAACAAGTGTTCAGAATGGCACGAGGATTTGCATTATCCAGGCAGTTAGTATTCATAGATGGAGTAAAGGCACAACACAAAACCAGTTTGAAACAAAAAGCAACCAACCATCAGACCTGGCAGAGGTGATGCAATATGAAAAAAGTGGTGTCAAAACGGTCTAGATACCTTGTGAGCATAATTTTTATAGTGCACCTCCGTAGCAGTTTTAGATTGTCACTCCAGTTAAATTTAGTCTCTGCAAAATCAAGTTTATGAGATTTCACTTTAAAACATACCTTATGTCTAGGATTTAAATTGTTTTAAGTTATAGGACACCTCATTAAAATGTGAGTTTCACTTTTAAACATAACCAAGTAGATGCACTTAAGTTACATGCAATTGTTCCCATAATATCCTATTTTCAATGGATGTGCTATGCACACATTTAGGTTATCAGAAGCAATTTGATTAAAACAAAAAACACTATATAGAACAGCAAAAGTAAAATATGCTGGATGTATATAGAGGCTTGCATTCATTAAAAGACCAAGTATCAAAATAAGGTTAGCTTCATTGAGTGGTTTTGGTATCTAGATAATACATGTGCAAACTTGTCAATTACTTTCCATTTAGGGGTTAAATCACTGTTCTGCAGTCATAGGCACTCCTCTCCAGAGGAGACTCCTACAGTCTCTATACACCAATTTCTACATAGGATCCCAGCACAGCCTTGGGCAGTTATCCACAAAGTGACAATTCCTCTACATTATATAGATTCTCTTGTATGGCTGCTACAACTATATAAAGCAGACATTACCAATGGTATGACATAATGTAGTTTATTTATAACTGCATGCAGCCCTTGAATAAATCTTGCATTTTTAATGCAGCCCTCAGATTACCCAAGGTTGGACAGCCTTGCCTTACACTGCTAGAGTCTGGAGACAACTTTTAGGGTGCTCTAAAGGTCTGATTGAAAGGTCTGTTCCTTTAACACAAAAAAAAAAAAAAAAACACTAATAATGGCAAAAATTTAGCTCAGACTGCAGGATTAAATTAATGAATGTGCTTAGAGAGTCCCTTTAAAAAAAAAAAAAAAAAAAAGTGGGGTCTTTGAAGAATTCCTGCAGCAATAGTTCTTATGACTAATTGATAGGTTAGACTTTGTAGAACATCCATTAATAAAACTTGTAACATGTAACAATATAGTTCTGTAATTTAATCTTAAATTTAGTAATCAACTAATGTTTGATGCTGGATTGTAAATACTTCGCACAATCTACAAATACCGGTCATTGTTTTGCATCAACATTCTGGAATTTTCCAGCCATTTCAAATAAGGCAGTGACTGATTCTTACTATACACTTTGCATAGCAGAGCTTTCCCATAAGCAGTGGCTTATGGACAAAGTTCTTTTAGGTGTTGCAGTTCAACTTTCTGCTTCAGATTGCAAAAAGTGGAATTACAATTCCCAGAAGCCAAGTCATGACATTTACAGGAGGTCAAAAAATAAAGGGGCAGAGAATAATCAAGCTGCATTGACGCTTTCCTACATAGCTCCTCCGAGTTACCGACAAATCTAAGACCTCACTGGGCATAGGTCTGACAGAAATAACCAAATCACCCAGACACAAGGGAATACCCGCTGATGCCATTCCCCAAAATGCAGGGAAAACCCGCTGCAGGAGTTGGGCCTGCCAGACAACCTAACCTGCAGAGGCCTCTAGGCCAGCAAGAGCACCCAGCGACACAGACAACCGCCCACAGTTTCAATACCATGTATGGCAACCAGTGTTTATTCCCTTATACTTAATCACATACTGGCATGTACATCTCTATGCACTGAAAGACAAGTTAAAATACATAAAGTGAAAATGTTGACAGTGTGGACAAAAAATAAAAAAGTGTATGTAATGCACTACACAGGCAAGTGGCTGGAGTGTTGATGCAATGATAAACTTAATATAACCTTCATGGATTTGTCATTGGTCCAGTTTCTTGAATTTAGCATCTGGTTTGCAAATGGTAATAAAACACTAAACATTGTTCATATTTAATAAACTATTTCTTTATTACATAATTTATCTACAGAATTATAAAGAGATTAAAACTGTACAAGGAATCAGTTTGACACAGTAGGGAGACATACTAAGCCACTTTTCTGTGATGTGGAAGACTTGCGCAAAAAATATATATTAAAAAAAGGCAGCAAAGATTAGGGTTTCCTGTACAATCCCCTCTTATTTGTGCAATGCAGCAAGTGTCCTAAATCCAGCAGAATAGCTTATATGCAATTTAAAAGATGGTACTTTATCTACCCTTAGTCTTGGCACTGTAACACGCATAAAAAGTATTTTTATTTTATAAAGTACCCTACAGCAGCAGCTTAAAAATTCACACAACTACAAACATTAAACAAAAGACATCCAGCTATTGTACCTGTGCATATTAAATCTTCATCTGCCTTGAAGACAGGGGCCCATAGTGTGTAATATTAGGAGGCAATGCAGTATAGTGGGGATGTTCACTAAACAGAATTCAAAATGGAGTGATAATGTAGGATTAACTATAGGGTAGGAAAAGCCAAATTGTACAATCCTTCCATGTTAGATTGTGGCATACCATTTGCCATTTGGGTATCCATTTACCACAACTCACTGTTTAGTGAGTAGACATCCAGATTTATTTTTAAAGCTCATGCCAAGATGCATGTTCTTGATAACTGATCACTGTACCATGCACCAGTTGTCAGGAATCTGCATCCTAGTGAATGATTGGCAGTCAAAAAAATTTTTTTTTTTTTTTTTTTTTTTAAAAGGGCACTATATTTACCTGCTATTGTCATTTACTGGAGATCAGTTTTTTGCAACGCAAAGGACAGTCCACTTTTACATGAACTGAATGAAGTTAAGATTAGATGCTCTCAGATCATGTCAGCATTTATATTGCACTTAAGTTTCCAGAGTCATAAGACAATTATGTTGGATAGGGACTGTTACAGTCCTAATGCACCATATGTCTATCAGGCAGCAAAATGACTAAAGGAGACAGGGCTGACTCATCATAAAGCCACAAAATAGAAAGGCAGGAATTTTCGCTTGCTTCTACTCAACTGTGCACGAATGTTGGGGGTCCGTCCGAGCCTTTAAAAACCATTTTGTAATTTAAATGATATTGACCTGTAATGGCTTAGTGTTTTGGTTCTGCCAAACTGATGACATGCCTTTTAAAACAAACTCATGCCTTCAAACATGCAACTACCTCACTTAATATAAGTTCATTTGGTATTGGTTATCCATTGATCTTGCATGTAAATCCTTCAGTGTCCAACAAGCAAGGATTCTTTACATTTTCACACAGTCAACCAAATGCTAAAACCTGCAAAGAGCCCACTTTAAAAAGTGTTAAGATGGAAAGACATTTAAAAATAGTTGACAAATTAAATTTTTTGGGCTGTATCCCTGATAAGGACACAACTTGAAGTTACAATTATAAACAGAAGTTACCAGTGGTGACCCAACTTGGACAAGTCACATGCAATGTTCCCGATTGCCTGCACAAAGAGTCCAACATCTGCAGGAACCCATGTGTTAGAGCCCACTTGGAGGTATTTTGAAGTTGGAAGCATGCAAGTAAGAAGATGGCACCACGGTCTTGCTACCAAGCAGCAACATGGGGCAAACAAACTTGAGCTTTGAGGTGCATAGCACTGGGCTTTAAGTGGACTAGTTCATAAGTCTGCAAGAATCAGGAGTATACCACACGTGTCAGTGATAGAGCAGATAGCCTTTAAGAGATGCTGGTAATGGAAGCGCTTGAATTTCGTTCAGTCTCTCTTTTCCCAATGCAACACGAACAGATCGTCGACACAAATCCATCAACGGCAAAGGCTCAGCTTTAAAAAAAAAAAAAAAAAAAAGTTACATAACTTAGAATGCTTACAGGTTATTTATGCAGTTTTTAACACTTGCCCATGTACAATACTTAGTTGTAACTACTAGGGATACAAAGTCAGGTCTAATTTTTATACAAGAAGAAAGCCTGTTAGACTTAATCCATAGGATTTAAAAGTTAAAAAACAAAAACAACATTTAGTGGGTCTGTCTGTAGTTACAAGGATACTCTACACCAGAATGCATAGCTTCTGACCAGAGCTTTTAAGGAGGCTGACCTTATCCCATAAGAACTATCCAGCAGGTATTGAGATGCTCCTCACCAACCTGTGGTTACAGTTATTCAGAAGGAGTCTCCATTATAAGGTTATGCGAACTAGCACTCTGCACAGTGCATTTGAGTGCACATTACCAAGGACAATTACCACAGCCCTCTGACAGGGAATAATGGAGTTGCAACACCATTTAATTCTGAAGGAGGTTTTAATTCACAATGGACTAAAATCTTTGGATGTCAATGGCTTTGTGATGCCATCACAAGTTCATAGCCATACGTTAGGATGACTTGCCACTGGAAGAGCAGTGGACTGAAAAAAAAAAAGTATACAAGACACAGTAAAACACTTAAGTTAGCCATTGGCCCAAAGTACATTTTAACTGCCATATTTTACAGTTCTGCCATTATGAAATTCGGAAACCTTTGAGATAGCCTTTTAAAATCAGCAGTGCCCTTGTCTTGCCACTTCAGAGTTGAACTCTTATAGCAGCCAATTAAATACTTCTCCATAGAACTGGAGAGTAATATTCCTCAGTTACAATAATTCTATGTAGAGAAACTTAAATAGCCAGTGTAAAGACTACACTTACTCTAGTCTTCAATAGAAAGTCCATCTAGTTCAGATGTGGCCAAAAATGTATCCTAGATGTAGAACTACAACTTCCATGATGCATTGCATAACTTTAGAATGCTAAAGGGCAAAAGCATCATAGGAGCTTTAGTTTTAACATGTCTGGAGACCTGCTGCATGGACTATGTGGTTCATTTACTGCAGTGTCCGTGCAGCAAACCATATGTTGGTAGGACTAAAAGGTTCCTAAAAATCCGATTGATGGAACATATCAAAAGGGTCTAACTACACATTCGATTACGGTTCATTGTAACCAGTGTCCATTGTTTTCTTTAGCTAGTTTTAAATGCATAGGTATTGAAATGGTTTCAATGAATTGGAGAGGGGGGGGCCCCAACAGTTAAGACGTTATCACAACTGGAGATGTACTGATCCATCGGCTGCAGACATTGGAGCCCAATGGAGGTGGATCTAGTATGTTTCCTGTGATTTTATTTACAAATAGGTTTACAATTTGTTGTGTTATTAATTTTTGGTTTAATTTTTATAATTTGTTTAGTAATTTAGATTTCCACCCTTGATCATTTACATTGTGAATTAACTCATAATGCAAAATATTTTTTTTTACTAACCAGGGTAAGTTGTACACAGATTAACTATGCAATTATAATAAGTGAACTAATAAAATAGCTTATTAGTTTAAATTTGCTAGATAAGATTTGGGAGAACAATAATTGGGTTTAAACTCATATGAAGGAACAAATGTGATAACACTAAAATAAAGGAATTATCTAAATTATTTTTTCAGAATAAAATAGGTTTATTTTTTATCATTATTGAATATAATAAGTTAATCACTCAGAGGGAGGTGGCACCTTTTAAGTCATAGGTTTTACATGGACGAGTAAATAGATTACTACAAACAGATGCTATCCATTCAGATTGGTTCAATGAGGAGGAAAGAAGATTCTCATATGATCAAGTTGGACTAAAGGACTAGCCCTATACTAAGGACTTGCAGGTAGGGGGTTAGGCTGCTTTTTTTGCTGTATTGTATGGATGAGATTGTTTTTACTTTGAGGAAGTCCCATACTCTGTTGAGGGGACGAAACGCGTAGGACCGGCCATTGTATTCATTTTATATGCTTTTATTGAATTATTAAAAGCTGCTCCTTTTTCAACCTTCACCCGGAGTCCTGTATTTGAGAGGAAAGTATCATGGGGAATTTCCCAGGCCCCCAACGCTATCAGGGGAGGCACCCTATATGCCTGAATTATACAAGATCCTGTGAGTGCATTTCAATTTGCGCAGATTGTTATGTGATAACAGTATCACACTAGATTTCTTTTGTATATTTTATCCAGATATCAGCTGGTTCCTCTTTAGTGGTATATATTTCCTTTGGGACATTTATGCCTCACCCTAGTGTTAAAACTGTATTGCCCTCCTAAATATAGTAAAAATCTTACTTTTATTCAAGTCTTCTGCTGCCTCTGATCTGCCTGGCTGACATCAGGAGTGATTCTCTGAGCCAATCACAATGCTTTCCCATAGTACTGGCTGAGACTGACTTGTGCTGGCTCTACCCCTGATCTGCCTCCTTGACAAACAGACCTAGCCAATCAGCATCTCCTTAGAGAGATGCATTGAATCAATGCATCTCCAAGTTCAGTATCTCCATACAGAGGGTGGAGACACTGAATGGCAGTGTTGCACTCTGCAGCACTGGCTCAGAAAGCACCTTTTAGTAGCCACCTGAGTGGCGGCCAGTGGAGGTATCCCTAGGTTGTAATGTAAACATTGAATTTTCTGTAGTTCTGGTGACTATAGTGTCCCTTTAGGTTTTAGTGCGTAGAATTTCCTAAGGGAAATTCATAGTTTCTCCTTGGCCACTGATATGTACACACTGAGAAAACTACAATTTCTACCTATAAATAGGGCTTGACAAATTTGTTTGGAATCTAGGAGCCAGCCAACAAAGTTTGGAGCTAGTTTGGTTTATTAAGCCAGTTTAATTTTCAACAAGAAAACTGCAAGAGTCCTTTGTCCACACAGCACCTACTTTCAGCATTTCCACGCTCTGCATGCATGTGCTGAATGTTCACCATAGTGATGCATTGATTAAATGCATCTCTATGATGAGATGCTGATGGGCACAGTGCTGTATTTTGCTGCGCATGTGCAGTATCCTCCCAATGCTTTCCTGTGAGAAAGCATTGACTTAGAGATCATAAAGATTTACGATCTTCGCTACAGAGGCAGTAACAGCCATAGCAAATCTGGTACGTGTGGGAATAAAAATGGGAGTAAAAACACCTCCTGCGATTGGAGGGGGGCCAGTACTTAAGACACCGACTATTTTAATTGAAATCCACCCAGCCTCCGTACCTTTGGGAGAGCGAATTGGATCTTTCCCTGGGGGTCCAGTGGGGCTACTCCCTTCCTGTCTGCAGCTTTTCTCGGCTCCCTTGCACTTTGTAGTGATGTAATATTCTGGCATCACTAAACCGAGCATGAGGGAGCAGAGATGCTGCAGGTAGATTACTGCTCCCCGAAGCAGCTAGCTTCAAAGTTCCTTACGGCAGCTGGCTGCCTCCATGCTCCCACAGCGGGCGCCCGGCTCCAATGCAACACTGTGTGGCCTCCTTAAAAGGAGGACATCCCAGAGGCGCCAGGGTGACATTTCTAGTCACAATTGCGACCTGGGATTTGTTGAGGCCTGACTGATAATATGAATCTTTACATATAATACCACCTGCTACCTTGGTATAACAAAATACATTTCATATGCACTGCAGGTTATGCTTAGAATAAAAGTTAACAATTTCAATAATTTGTGAGCAAAGATTTCAATCTTTGTAGGATGCCATGCTCTGGTGCAAGAGGAAGCTGTGCATTGGACCCATGCCCTCAAGACTTTTGAATCAACCCCTAAAACTGGATGGCAAGAGTTCATGAGCAACAGCTGCACCAGTGAACTTCAGGGAAGCGCCCATCACCTGGACTTATCCAGAGTAAAACAGACCCAGTTAAGGATTTTCTGGAACATCCGTGTTGCACAGGGGGACATCTATTACACTCTACTAGCAAAGGATGGAATTTTAGACTTTTGCACAAGTCCTTTTCAGCTGCACTGAATGAATAAATCAAATGCCTGTCAATCTATGCACCAATTTGCTGGGATTGACTTTTTCCTAGATTGACAGGTATTTGATTTGTTCAGTGCAGCTGAGGAGGATTTGTTCACAAGTTACAGCACAGTAAGTCAGGAAATGGTCAACTGGGATCTGCAGAGATAGCTCCTCCATTACCAAGTGTCAGGGTTAGAATGCAGTTTCCCCCACTTTCATTGTCAGATAGGTGAACAGCAGATGTATATAGGAGCTGCAGATTACGAACAAAGGTACAGGATGAGATGGTTTACAGCATGGCAGATTTGAGAGTTTGTGCGAGCCAAGTTTTGCATTGCCTTGTGCACACCTTTATAGTGAAAGAGCGCAAGTCTTCCTGGTTCTAGAACATTTGTTTTGAGCCAAGGTACACTTGTGAGACTTTGCAACACTACAGTGTCAGGAATACAAACATTTATTCCTGACACTAGTAGTAACGACTCACTTATTAAAAATAAGCCGCATTTCACTTTCCATAGAAAATCATTGAGCGGCACTTTTGCAGCAAACCACCACACCAATTAGCATCTCCTCAGATACATTAAATAAATGCATCTATGAGATGTTTAGTGCAGAGCGTGGAGAAGCTGTGCATCACTGAAACCGGAAGCACCTTTAGTGGCCAACTGAGTGACTGCCACTAAAGGCGTTAGTAGGCAGCAATGTAAACAGTGCTGCAGGGACAGGCTGTAGACACCAGAACAAAGCTGTATTTTTGGTGACTATAGTGTACCTTCAAAGTGTTACTCCAAGCATCATGAGCACTTCATGGATTTGAAGTGTTGGAACTTCAGTAGATCTGGAGGTTAGTCCCTCTGTTGACAGGTGTAACCACCTCTGGCAGCATCAATGGGAGGTCATAACTCTAAAGCTATCCACAGACAATAGCCAAAACATAATATAGGAATAGGACTGCACTCTAAACAAAAGCCTCCATGCCATAATAGAAAGAGGAAAGTTCTAATATTCACATTTGTCTCTGGCTAGTAGCTCTAGAGCAGGACTACCCAACAGGTAGATCACCAGATGTTGTAGAACTACAACTCCCAGAGATCTACCTGTTGGGCAGCCCTGCTCTAGAGTGTCTGTTAAAAAAAAATAAAAAAGTCCCTTTTATCAATATGCAAAATAAATTTTGCAGAGAAAGGGGACCACAACATGGTAAAGCACTTTAAAGTGAATGCCAACATTTAAATTCGCAGTCACTCTTGTTGATACAAACTAGTTAATAACTGCATTTGAAGAATGGAAATGCTGACTACGACTTGCCCGGTCAAGCAATTGGTACTCAAGGAGGCCTCAGATAGCTGTACAGTTAAAACTGAAAAGTCATAAGCTAGCAATGTCCTCTGATGTAAAGGAGTGCATTTTTAGACTTAAGCCTTTATTTCCAAGTTAGTCATACCATATTGCAGCCCCTTCCTCCTTGGATGCAGCTGAAGTAGTCGAAGTGGCCACCATTCGACAAAACGAACACGTGGCAGCCGCCATCTTTGTTCATTCGAACGAGGTCAGCGGTATGGGTAGCCAAATCCATGGAACTGAAATCGGCTACACATTAACGAACACCTTCTCCTACACTCAGTTTTCAGCTACAGAGACCAAGTCCCGTTTGGCAGTTTGAACTCACTGCTATACTAAGCTAAATGCACGAACGGCCCCGTTCTTGCATTCGAATGGGAGTCATTTTTCTGTGTAAAAAAAGTCCGACCGCAAGGCACAAATCTAAGGAATGGTTTTGGGCAGGAAAATGTGCTTGCGGTCGGTCATAAAGGACTTCCGTCTAACTATTTAACCACTGGATGGAATTGGCTGAATTTTGGATAGGTTTGTAATTAAAGTGTGCAAATGCAATTTTTTTAATGAAGATTGAATGTATATTTTTAAAGTTACAGGGAATGTGTAAAAAGTATATTTTTCCTGCCTGTGAGAATTACTTTAACGCATTGTGTTCAGTAATTCTATCACAGGTTTGTGTGTAATTGATAGGAGTGTTTGTACTGTATACTACGTGTTTATTGGTTGTTCTGCAAAACCCTGTGGGCGGTCCTGTATGTGTAAGACCTCCATAAAAAGGTGCCAATTAAACACAGTTCTTCTTGACACTCAACATGTAGTCTTGTGATTGGAGGGGACAGCTATACTCACACTGGGGATTGCTATGCTCTGCATACTCCCCTGAGCTTTAGTCACTTAGCTCTTTTAAGAGCTCGTTCCTCTGATACGCTCTCCTGGAGGAGAGGTCTGTCCCCACATGGTCCTGGAGGACAGAAGCTGATCCAGGGTGGACAAAAGATTGCGAGACTCCAGTTAAGCTACGGCAGTTGTGATGTTCGGTGCGGTGCTTGTGGTCCTCGGCGCAAGCTAGGAAGCGTCCATCAACAGAAGGTACTCTGTCGGAGTACGGGGAGTTCCGTTACACAGGTAATTATTGCAGTTTATAAAAACTGCAGTAATTACATGCTCAGGGTTAAGGGTGATGGAAGTTTGCACCCAGACCACTTTAGCTAAAGTGGTCTGGGTGCCTAGAGTCTTCCCTTGGAGGAACATTATAGGATCAACACCACAAACATGAATTCCTGACCCTATAGTGTTAAAAAGACCATTTAGCCCCCTAAATATAGTAAAAATCTTACTTTTATTCCAGTCTGCTCTACCCTGATCTCCCTGCTTGGCTGACACCAGAAGTGTTGATCTGAGTCACAGCAGTTGGATTGGCCAAGACTGTCAAAGAGGCAGATCCAGCACAAGTCAAACTCAACCCTGGCCAATCAGCATCTTCTCAGGTATACATTGAATCAATGCATCTAGTAAGAAAGTTCAGTATCTCCATGCAGAGGGTGGAGACACTGAAGGTTAGTGAAGCACCTCTAGTAGCCAGTGGAGGTATATCCCTAGGATGTAAACACTACCTTTCCTTTATCACTACTCTGGTCTTGCTGCTGCTGGCCTGCCTCCAAGGCAGAAGTCAATCTTTATCCAAGTCCAACAGAAAAGCACTGGTATATTGCAAATGTGCAACACCAATCAGCATCTGCCACTAGGTGTTCCTAGGCAACAATGTAAACACTGCATTCTCTGAAAAGCCTACAAGGACAGGATAGAGACCAGAACCACATTAAGCTGTAGTGTTTCTGGTGACTATAGTATCCTTTTAAGTGTGAAAATTCTCCAAGTCAGCTTTTATACCTTCACTTTAGTTACATTGGCATAAACTTTGAGATTCCCTTTGAATTCCAAAGATATTACACATTGGCTGAGAGCCTCAACTGGTGGTTTCCACAAAATTCTTCAAGCAATGATTAAGTTTTGAAAGTCAGGATTACTCACTAAAAACTCTGAATAGTGCAAGAAAGTGAAAGGGAAGACAAAATTCCAAATGGCAACGTTATAGCCTTTGGTATTTTACATCCCAGCTATTGTTGCCTCAGATCTTACATCATTTTGCAGATATTTAGAGATTAGGTTAAGAAGTTATATACTGCATCAGAAAGTGACTGGGAAAGCATTAATCTTGGCCCATTTGGGATCTAGGCGAGTGGTTCACAGTTGAATCTTCAAGGCCAATAATACTTTGTTTGAAAGGTTACCAAGCTTTCTATATTTATGCATGCAGACTTTCTAGAGTCTTTAAAAAAAATAAATAATTGAGCAACATTAAGATAGTTCTAGTTACAGCTTTGCTTTTTGCAAGAAGTATATATTACAACTCACATGAATATAGCCTCCATTCTTATCTGATCGTTAAACATGTAACCCACTGAAATATTTTACACCAGATAAAGCAAGTTATTGAATCCAGACTATACTTACGATCTAGCCCATTTAGGTAACGCATTCGGATTTCACAGTGACCCCAAACAGCACTCACAACAGGATAGAGTTTTTTTCCCTTTAGTCCTCGAAAGGCAGTACCCATGAACTGTCCATCAACAATAAAGCCAAGAGTTCCATCATCCATATCTAGAACTACCAGGAAAGAGTCCGGTACTATAAAAGTTTCATCAGACTCCAGAAAGGCAGGATATGTTCTACTTGGCTGATTTTTACCATCGTGATATAGTTTGTTCCGTCCCAAATCCCATCCCCATGATTTACAGTTACTACCTATAAGTGTAGTGTAGCCCACGGAATGTAGAGGGGCATCTCCTGTAGCAACACCAACAACAGCGTGTGTCCCCCTCTGCCGCATAACCCACGTAATTTCCCATACATGCAAGCCTCTTGTGTAGCCCATTTTTCCACGAATTGCATCTGTACTTTGTGCCACCGGATGCCGGTGAAAAACAAGTTTGTCATCCTCTTTGACGAAGACATTTAGTGATCGATCATTGTTATTCCAAGAGTGCTGAAGTTGTACTTCGTAAGACACTGGAGGCATATCCAACAACATGTCTAGTCGGGAAGGCTTACAGTAGTCAAGTCCTTGAAGATCTTGTTTCAGTGGCCTGTATGCAGGGTCCCTCATGTCCACTGTCTTTATACCTCCTGTGACTTTCTGACCCATGATCTATGGCAGTGTCAGTTATAGATCCAAAGAGAAGCTCATTCAGTTAGCCAGACCTCTTTGGCAACACTCCAAGGGATAGTTTGTTCTGTGAACTTTCCTGGTTTGGGAAAAGAAAAAAAAAAAAGTTACACATTAGCCAGGACATCAGAAGCAGGTTAATGTTCAGTGTAAAGCATCCATACAGACGAATCTATGAAAGCCATTTATGGCTAAAGTGTTTGTCCTTTGTATTCTACATAGAGCGTGTCTATGGAAGAACAGAAAAGATATAGAAACCACGGCACCACAAAAAAAAAAAAGACAAACACAGGCAAAGCCAAAACTTTAACACAATCATACCTTGTGACAAAAGCAAAACAATGGCTGCTGAAATATTTGAAATGGCACATAGTCTTGTGCTTGTATTTAGCTAACTGTACAGCCTTCCTTTAGGCAGGGAGGGATATATTATACCAGTCTAACCAGCTTAGTCAGTATTTTACTGAAATTGTATTTAAATAGTATCATTTTCACGGATTACACAAATTATAGGTTGCTTTTTAATCATAACCATTTGTCTCTTTTGAACTTTAAGTTAGCAAAAACGTGTCACACATTGTACATTTTGTCTCTCTGGAAGATTTTGTAACATGCCTTCGATTACATAAGAATTTGAATATTTGAACAACTATTTCACACAGTTGACCTTTAATTTTACTCTATGGGTTTTCAGACAAAAAAGTTTTCTTACAGTAACACTAAGCATCAGAAGCACTACAACATAATGTAGTTTTCCCGAGAAAGAAATGGGCATTTAACTGCAGAGTTAATTTGGCCACATACAAGTCAACGTTGTTCAACCAGAGCCACTTCCTTCATATTTTTGATTATTAAAGGGACTTTACAATTGGCATCATGCTCAGCATGTTACTGAATAAGGACATTTCTTTTCAGAGATGCTCTGGATTGGCAGATTAACAGCCTTTGCTGGACATGTAACCCCAATGGTACTCTGTGAGAGGCATCTGATTAGACAAGTCATTGCAGATTGCTTCAGTGAGGTGTTTGAGATCGTATTAAGGGAATTTTAATGTTAGCCCAGCTTTGATTCTCCTTATTTTTGGAGTTTAAAAAATTATAGTGTTCCTTTAAAGAAAAAAAAAAAATGACAAACCCCAATGAGGCTTGATAAGCCTGCCTTGTAATCCAGATTTCTGTACAAAGCAGAATGCATCTTAATTTGACCAAGATTCCAATTTGGTGGTAAGTGGCAAGGGAGACTGCAAAGATACATACAGTCATTACTAACTTTATTTATGTTGTCAAGGAAAGGTTTCCACTGATTCACACCAGCAGCTGGTTGAACATTAGAGGAAGTGTCCTGCCATAACCCTCTGCCACTAGCCATAGTCACAGCAAAAATTATTACACATAACTCACAGCTACAATTCCCAAAACAAACACCAAATCCACAAAACAAGCCTCCAAGAATACCAACTGTCTGATATCACAGCTGAATGAGAACGGACAGATTGTAAAACAAAGTTGCTGCTGTAGGTCTTTCTTTCCCTGTGTGAAACTAAATGGTGAAGTATTTTTTTTATTTTTTAAATGCACTAGTTGAGCTGTATACAGGCAAGGAGCTGCTGTGCACAACTACCATGATACTCCGTCATTTGTTACTGAGCTCAAAGGTAGGTTAAGTTCACATAGCAAGAAGGAAATGGTTAAATTCTGATGGCACATGCATATATGGGAAAACAAATTATATATAAAGTAAGAGGTGCACCACCTAATGAGACAGTAATCACTTTGCTGGCTTGTGGCTGCCTCTTGCTGTGCACCTAACGCATGTGTGAGCAACCTCTGGCACTCCAGCTGTTGAGTTACATGTCACGATACCTAGTGAAACAAACTGCAACCAGAAGTAAAACAAACACCCAAATTCCCACACTAAAATATGGCTTTCTGCCAGTAGAGGAGATCACCTATTCTGGCAGAGCCACTTCATGGAAATTTGCACAATATTGAAACTTCAGGAGTTTGTAACTTGTTGCAACATTTTGAAATTATCTTAAAAAAAAAAAAAATTATAAAAATTTAAGGGACTCTCCAGGAAGCCGTTTTTACTCACCTGGTTCCAGCGCCGGGAGCCTCGTGAAGCTGCGCCTCCTATTTCGTCAAAATGATGTAATAGGTGGGCACGAGCAGGGAGCAATCAGATGCTTCCATTTGGAAGAGTCCTTGTTCGCAGGTGCGGCTTTGCCGCACATACTTCATAGGGCGGCATTCATTCTGCCCTATGAAGTCCTGAGCGCACTACTGCGCATGGGCAGCCGTGACCTGAGAGCTCGCGGTCTTTGCCCACCCTCTCTTCTGCACACTTCAGACGTATTTTAATAAGTGACATGTACATGGCCTTTTTAGTAGGGATTGACCAATATTGATTTTTTTAGAGCAGATACCGATACTCTGAACTTTCAGGCAGATAGCTGGTATAATTTGCCGATATTCTGTACATTTACCATTTTGGAAAATAAATCTATTTCTAAAAGGTAAATGCACAAAATATACATGCCACGTGTAGTGGATGCAGTGTGTTTAGACAGGGGAGCTGTGTGTTTGTGTAGTGGATGCAGTGTGTGTATATAATGAAAGCAGAGTGTTTGTGTAGTGTGTGGGTAGCGTGCGTAAAGTGAATGCAGTGTCTATAAAGTGAATGATTTATATTAAATGCTTAGTGTGTTTGTGGCATACATTATACAAACTACACAAAAACTGTAGATAATGCAGTGTGTAGTGTATGTGTATATAATATAGTGTGTGAGGGGGGAGCATTTTTTTATTAAAACATTTTATATATTTTATTTATTTTTGTTGTCCCCCACCCTCCTTGTTGCCTGGCCAGGGAGGGGGGATATAGCAGTCCCTGCTGGTCCAGTGGCATTGGCTGAGCTGTGAGGGGGCCGGCAGCAAGCATTTATTCACCTCCCAGCAGCTCCCCAGTGTAAATCTTGCAACCAGCGTGCTGCGCTGCCATGGTAACCCGTGGCAATGCTCTGACGGCCGCAGGTCTCGCGAGACTTACACTGGGAAGCTGCTGGGAGGTGAGTAAACGCTTGCTGCCGGCTCCCCCATGACCACCGGGTTTGTATATTATCGGTATCTGAATTGGCCGATACCGATTTTGCCGAAAATACTGAATATCGGCCAATAATATCGGTAAAACCGATAATCGGTCGATCCCTACTTTTTAGGGCCATACATGATAGGAAGTCCCTCTGGTGGCCGTCTGAGTGACGGCCACTGGAGGTATTCCTATCAATATAAACACTGTATTTTCAAAGAAAATACAGTGTTTACATTAGATTGCCTGCAGGGAGCAATAGAGCTCACCTGAACAACTACATTAAGCTGTAGTTGTTCAGGTGACTATAGTGTCCTTTTAATAAAACCATGTTCTGTTCCAGAGTGACAGAATGTCTTGGGTATGTAATTTTTAGGATTAGAATTAGGCTAGCACACCAAGTAGTAACAGCAGTGATGTCACTGACAGCAACACTAGTTTGTTTTAAGCATATGAAGTAAAAGAAATGAAGACTGAAAGCTATGCATCAATGGGCTGCAGAGCATAGCAGGGAATTAGCATTTGTGTCTGTAGCAGGAAAGAGTGGGAAGTTACATTAAAGGAACACAAACATGTATTTCTGACCCAATAACGTTAAGACCACCATCTAGCCCCCACTAAATGTAGTAAAATCATTCATTTACGCCAGTCTGCTACTGCTGGCTCTGCCCCTGATCTGCCTGCTTATCTGATGTCATTAGAAGTGTAATTCAAAGCCAATCACAATGCTTGTGCACAGGAAAGCATTGGATTGGCTAAGCTTGTGAAGGAGACAGATCAGGGGAAGAGCCAGGACAAACCAGGCAGCCCTGGCCAATCAGCATTGAATCATCTCTAAGAGAAAAGTTCAGTGTCTCCAGGCAGAGGATGGAGACACTGAATGGCAGTGCTGCTCACAGTGCAACATTGAGCCAGGAAGCACCTCTAGCAGCCATCTGAGGAGTGGCCAGTATAGGTATCACTAGGCTGTAATTTTCCCTGAAAAGAAAGTATTTACTACAAAAAGCCTTAAGGGTATGATGCTACTGGTTGATTGCCAGAATAGACACCAGTGATTTGCTAGTAAATATTTAGCATTGATAAAGCAAAAAAAAATAAAAGTGCATCTCTTGCTCCCAAGTTAGCTAGAGGAAGATCCTTTAAAATAAAAAACATAAAAAAAGTGTAAGACAACAGCTGTTCATATAGTTACAGAATTGTGATACCAGGCTTCTAGCTTACAAATCAGCTGATGATCAAAAAAAAAAAGTCAAGTTTTTAAAAAGCCCACAATGCAAGGCATTAGGCTACAGAGATATAACCAAAGCAGCACAATAGGGTTAAATAGACAGACGTTTACACAGAATAGGAAGCCAGTTAACAGTTCAGCTGTGGGTCATAGCAGTCTTGATCAAGTCACATATTGTCTATATGTATTAAAGTGACAGTCCTTGGCAGCGACAGGTCGATCCTGTGTGCTGCAGCATATGTTAGAAGTGTAGAAAGGAGGTAGGTAAGATGTTTCAACAACAAAGCCCTAATCAGAATATGTGGACAAGCCTGTAAAGTTATAACAAAGGCAAAGTAAATAAGTGCTATTAATTGCAGCTTAAGCAGCAGTGCAAACATTTACTAGACAAATAATCTGCTGCCATAATAAAGTGTGGTTTGTCACTATCAGCATCCTTTATAGTGATATATTAACTATGTAGTAGATCATAATGATTTTTATCTTATCGCCCAACATTTAAGATTGCAAATGTCAAATCAGACTCAATATGAGTGATTACCAAGAGTAAATTTTAAAAAAGTTTTAGATATACTGAATTGGATATAGGAGTTGGTGCTGGCTCAAGCATGCACTAGACAGAGGGAGCACCTAGTAGTGGGTTACACATAGAAGCATTAAGATTGCTTTTAGAAATTGGCATTTTCTATGCCTAGTCACCATTTTACAGCGTATAAAAGTTATAAATCCTGTTTAATACATTCACTTCTGTTGTGAAAAACCGGCCACTGAAATTAAGTTTTGCAACTCTTGTACATAAACTAACGTCTAAGCAATGATCAGCATGTTGAGTAGAGAATCATAAACAGTGAGTTAAGAATGGTCTACATAAATATATATATATATATATATATATATATATATATATATATATATATATATATATATATATATATATATATATATATATATATATATATATATCCACCCTTGTACATGGTAGCCAAGCACGCTGCCCAAAATATTAAGCATTGTTTCCGCATTAGCTTTACTTAGTGTTAAGACAAGACGATGTTTTGTATTGTAGCAGCTTCATCAATAGACTGATCAAATGCAGATTACTGCTTGCAGCAAATAACTTGACACTAGCCATTGTCCAGGTAAAAGCACATTCTAGCAAGTCAGCTGAATATATAGGCTATAAAATTGATTACTAGAAATCAAACCACTAGATCAGTTCCATTGTATAATTTTGATTAACAACCGAGAAGAGACCATTAATGCAATTAAAATGTTGGTTATAGAAGCCAATTTAAACTTAAAAGGAGCCTCTTCACTCTAACTACACAAACAATATGAAACACCATATTGTCTTCAACTGACCAAAACTTAACCTTGCATCCCTACCTGTATGGTGGTGACTAAAAGGAAAGGGAGTATACATGCTATGGTTTGTGTAGTTAGAGTGAAGAGGCTCTGTTGTGGAACTAGCGACCAACAACCAAAAGCACCCAGTTCTCTTTAGAATGTTTGGACTTTTAATACTAGTTAGGACAACTGCACTCCATTAAGGAATATAGACCTGCAACCCAACATGCAAGAAATCAGAAATGAACAGGCACAACCAAGATTTCAACCGACAGGTTGGGGAGGAACCTGAGAAAGCTTAGGCAGGAAACCCCCCCCCCCCCACAAATTATGGAGTTTTAAAGTCTAGATTATTGTAATACACTAACAGAGTGGGCTTAAAGACCGAGGTAAGGTAGTGCCTCAGTTTCAGAACTACAACTCCCATTATGCTTTGCCAGTTGTGATAACTCCCTGACACCTCTGATGATAGAGTGAAGCTCTGTAATGCCAGATTTAGAGAGCCCCAGCATCACATACCGGTGTCTGGTACCCCGGCCGTGATGGATCCCCTGATGGACAGTCACACAGGCAGACAGGCTGAGCATCACACTCGGACACGGGGCGGTAACGAGGGCTTATCCATAAACTACAACTCCCACAATGCTCTGCCAGCCATCGCACAGGGGAGCATGATGGGAGCTGTAGTCCCCACGGCAGCTGGAGCCCTCTCTGCGGGGGGATCCCTTACAGCGAGCCTGGTCACCTCCAGCCGTGCGAGGAACAGCATGTCCCGAGATGCTCTGCCATTCAGGCTGCTGGCTGAGCATCATGGGAGGTGTAGTCCTCACAGCAGGGACCAGGTTACCCCGTTAGAGGAAGGTAGAAAGCCTCCCGTGGGTCTCACCGCTGGGTAACACCGACTCTCCTCTTCCGCCTCCTCAGCTCTCACACACCGGGGCCGGACTCCGCCCTCCCCGGCCCCCCAGGGATATTACGTGGGGGTTAGATGCGGGGCTACGGCCCCCCGTGTGGCCCAAACCTCCTCTCTCGGTCTCCCTCCGCGGAAGCTGAGTGACGGCGGCCCGCTGTAACCCTCAGCCCCCTCCCCGTGTCCGCCAGCCCGGGCTGGGAGGTCCCGCTCACCCTGTGGCGCCGAGCGCGGAGAAGGAGGAGTGACGCCGACACAGCACGCTCGCGAGACCGCTTGTCAGACACCGCAGGCCACGCCTTCTAACCGTCACTGCAGCTCCGCCCTCTTCTAATAGCGCCGCGCGCGGACAGCCCCCGCCCAGCTCGGAGAGGGGGCGGGGACTCGGGCCACGCCCCCCACACACCACAGAGCACATGCAAGCAGCTGTGAGGTTAACCCCTGCATTGCCGCAGCTGTGAGGTTAACCCCTGCATTGCCGCAGCTGTGAGGTTAACCCCTGCATTGCCGCAGCAGGACAGGAGGGTTTTCCTAAATGGTGCAATTTTGGCCTAAAATGTGAAATTCACTTTGAAGGGGTTATTTACTAAGCTCTGATAGGAATGGTCACAGGGTGACTGTCTTGGCCTAATTTTATCTCATATCAGGTCACTCCATTTATTATTATTATTATTATTTATATAGCGCCATCAGATTCTGCAGCGCTTTTCCTGAGATCAGGGAATATGTTCTCTGTAAACAATGAATTACAACCTGGCTCTGTAAAAGAGTATTAGTAGAATAATTTTTTCCCAATATTTAAATTGATGGGATTTTTAAGGTGAATTCACTGTAATTGAAGGAAAATCTGACAACGTTGCTGACTTAGACAATTTTTCAAACTCAGTTTTTTTGTCCTTAAAGGAACTTTATAGGTCTAGGAATACCCACCAACGGACGGCCTGTTTGTTCACCCTTAAAAGTTGTCATTCATGCTATCACTCTCGAAGTAACCCCAGATCACCATGATATTATCCCCTATTACGGCCCGTCCCTACACCTCAACAGGTAACTCCTGTCTAACTACAATGATGCTCGATGTATCTACTTATATACATATCTCCGCTACTACCTGTTCCTTACTGTACTCCGTAGTATATATGTTTTAAAAAAAAAAAAAGTGCAGTATATATATCATACCAATCGTCCAACAACATATGTTTTCTCATGTTTATGCAATGTGCGATTTTGCTGTTGTTGCAAAACAAACTAACCCGTTGGCTGTTTAATCATTCAATGCACAACAAAATAAAGAATAAAAAAAAAAAAAAGCTCCTGATGCTGATAGTTCAATCCAATGCTGCTCATAGAGGAGAATTGGAGACCTACCATGCATGCGCGGTATGTGCCACACATGCATCTGATCAATGCTTTCCTACGGAGGCTGTAAAATCACGTGACCGAATTTTAGTCGATCGTTGCGGCAAAAGTGCATCCAGTTGTTCTCAGTGTAACATTCGTTTGTAAGTGTCCAAGGTTAATAAGGCAGTGTTTTACTTTGAATGGTAAAACGACAGGACCACTGCACCCAGGCCACTTCAGTGAGATGAAGTAGCCTGGGTGCGTTTAATAGCCTTTTATTGATAGTGATATGTTACAAGTTACTGGAGAGTTGTATTTCACAGTAATTTACCAACATGGATATTGGGCTCACTGGGCTATAATTTCCTGGATCACTTCAGGTTACTTTTTTGAATACTGACATGACATTGGTTAAAAAGTTGTCTAAGTCAGTGTTTCCCAACCCAGTCCTCAAGGCACACCTACCAGTCCAGGATTTAGGGATTACCCAGTTGTGTCTAAGGTGTTTTTACAAAGAAAAAAAAAAACACCTTAGACACAACTGGGTAATCCCTAAATCCTGGACTGGTAGGTGTGCCTTGAGGACTGGGTTGGGAAACATTGGTCTAAGTGATGGCGCATGTGACATTTTTTGAGCAAAGTTTGATAGTTAAATATATTTTTTAAGATTTCATAACAAATCCGCAAAGAGAGAAAGGATGTGGCCCATACAATAAAACCCAACCTTTATTAATGTTTTTAAAAATCTTTGAAGATTTCATGTTCATATAAGACGAAACCAAAAAGTAATACATTCTAGTACTGATAATAACAGAACAAGGTGGGCAGAGATCCTTCCAAATATATATTTTAAAGCAATCCTATTGGTTCCTGGTGATCAGATGAGAAGAACATTACTCCCATCACGAAAATCAGGTCTCAAAGCTGAAAACAATCAGCAAAATAAAATATCATTTACTCTCCTCTGGCCAACTAAAAAAAAAAGTGAATCATTAACTTTATTCATACCCATCCTAAGATTCTCCCAAGATTCTGAATTTCAAAGTCCTAAGTCTGTGATAATATAAATACGAGCACAAAGGGTTCTGCTCACAGGGCTATGCACTAGTTTGGCCCTCATTTTGAGTACAGAATAGCGGCTATTCTGACTCCTAAGTATTCTCCAACTTCGGAAGTGCCTCCTAGAGTGAAAGTGACAGAAAGAGCAGAGCCGGGTTAAGATTGCCCTGGGCCCTAGTCATGATACCTGGTAGGAGCCCCCTCCTAGAGCCCTCGGTTCTGTGAGTGTTGTGTGTGTAGTGGCTGAGTGTTATCTGTGTGGAGGAGGCAATTTTGTGTTGAGCAAAAAGGTTGAGTATGCATATGTGTGCTAGTTTAGTGGCTGCAATTTGTGTTTGGGGGAGTCAGAGTATTGTGTGTGTGTAGTGGAGTATGAGTGTGGCTGAGTGTTTTGTGCATGTAATGGCTGAGTGTGTTGGGAAAGTTTTTAATTCCCCCAACTGCTTACCTTTTGGCAAGACGGGGGTAATTCCTGGTGGTCTTGTGGAGAAAGCTAAGAAACTGGATTAGTGGTGTTCTGCACCAATATTGGGTGTAAATCACTGTAAGTGCTTTCTCGTGAATCCTGCACTCAGTCAATGACTTAGGCTATGGTGCTCTGAGTCATTGACAAAGCGCTGGAACCACTTTGTGGCTTCTAATGTAATCTGCACCTGATAAAGGTGCAGACCACAAAGCTCCCTTGAGCAGGTAAGGGGAACAGGGTTGAGCAGAGAGGTCTTTCAATCTCCCTAAAGGCTCATGGAGAGCCCCCTCACAGCCAGGCCCAGATAGGGGCCCAACCCGCTCCTATCTGAGTCTGGATCCTAGGTAGCCACCTCCGCCGCCTTATGGTCAATCCAGCGCTAAGAGAGAGAACAGGGGCACCGAACCTGCGTTTCGCTCTGTTATGATCTTATCCTTGTGAAGTGCTGTTCTATACAGAATAAACTACACCTCCTTTAGTTTTCTCTTTACAAATGATACAAGTTCAGATATTTTAATTTATATTTTAGATTTTTGTGTAATTCAAATATTTGCTGACTACTGTGTTATTAACTAAATAGATTATTGTTAAGTGAACAAGATCTCTTATATGTTTGTCTATCAGTTCCTCTCCTCCTACTGATTTTTGGAAAATGATTTACAAAGAAAAAAAAGTAGTAAAAACCAGAACCCCAGCCCCTTTGTCCCTTGTTCCCGCCACTCAGTGTCCCTCCCAGGGTCCTCCCCCTCCCAGGGGCCTTTGCAAGGGACATGAACTCCAGTTCCTTTGTCCCCAGTTCCTGCCACCCAAATACAGGATTTCCCACTTCCCATGGCAGGGGAGTTTTCTTCCCAGGACCCTCTGCACCTGGGAGTCCCAGCGCGGTAAATACTCCCGTCTCCTAGGCTTCCAGGCAAAGAAAGCCCGCCAAACCGCCATTGTCCCCAAAGAGTGTCCCAAGCAATCCCAGGGACCCGCAGAATGACAACCGTCCTGAACCATCTCCATTCGCGCGGTCCCTGGGTGAAACCAGGCAAGGAAAGCGTCTCCTTTCACGACATGAATGCTCCCCTCTAGCCGGCATTCATCTGTACGAATGGCGGCCACGCAGGGAAGCGCTCATTAATGAATCCCTTGCAGGTTATGTTGCAAGTTGCTAAAGTTCTAATTGATTGGTATGAACACTCCAAGGGGCACTGGGGAGGTCCTCGTTCGGGGGCTGAACGAGGTGGGAAGCAATCCGCGAAGGCTCCCCCTGGACGGCATTCGTATAATGAACAGGCCGCCACCCAGAGTCGGCACGTTCACGAGACTTCTCTTGTGGTTTGTGGTTTTCACACCTCGGTTTGTGGTTTTCACACCTCGTTATCAGGAGGCGAACAGAACCCGTTCGTGTAGGGGCCTCCCGACCTGGGAGTAAGCAAAATACAAGAATACAGCACAATATAAGGGGAAAATACGCGGAATAACACACAGCAACAGGCAGCGGTCCCGCCACATGTGTACTAAATAAACTAAGTCAGTCAGTGTTGTAACCTCCAGAACTGTGTTTGGTCCAGTTACTGGGGGGGAAATGGATGCCTGCTTGTTGTAAGGGTTCCTGAATGGCTGAAGGAAGGGAAATAGCGGAGGTAACCAATTGGGTTACCCGTGGTCCGCTACCGTGTGTATGTCTGTCAGTTTGTCTGTGTGTGTATATATCTGTCAGTTTCTTTGTGTGTTTGTCAGTGAATGTGTGTATGTCTGTCAGTGTGTGTCTGAGTGATTGTGTGTGTCTGTGAGTGAGAGAGTGTGTGTCTGTGAGGGAGCCTGTGTGTCTGAGTGACTGTGTGTGTCTTAGTGTGTCTGTCAGTGAATATATATTTGTTTCTGAGTGATTGTGTGTGTCTGTGAGTGTATGTCTGTGAGGGTGCCTATGTGTCTGAGTGATTGTGTGTGTCTGTGGGTGGGTGTCAGTGAGTGTGTGTGTGTGTGTGTGTATGTCAGTGTATCTGAGAGTGTGTGTTTGTCAAAGTGTGTGTTAGTCTTTAACAGGAAGCGGTGTGGCGTTGACAGGAAGGGGTGGGGCAAATGTAAATTAGGGGGTGCCCGAGTTCCATCATGCCTAGGGCAGCACAGATCCAAAATACACCACTGGCTCTTCATATATACAACCTAGAAAATTGTTTTGACTTGGGGCGCATTGAAAAAATATTGAAATATCAAGGGCGCCTTGAACCTAAAAAGTTTGTGAACCACTGCTCTAAACTCTAAAATCCAAAAATGGCAACATTTAGGCAAAGATATTTGATCTAAAAAAAATCTCCAACTCAGACCTAGGCATAGGTTGTCTAATTTAGTGTGAAACTTGCAGTTTAGACTTTAATTTGCTACAATTTAATCCCTTAGGGACCAGACTGTTTTATAATTTTCTTACCGTTAAGGACCATGGCTG